AATACATTTGATGAGCTTGGCTGTGCAAAACAAAAGATCATAAGCTCAACCAAACAATCTTGCATTTGGGGAACCCTTTTCCTTCATGTAAAGAACTATGGCGCTAAAATGACAAGCAAATAAATATTTAATAACACTTAGATATCATGTCATGATTAACACGTAATATTAATCTAATAATATGCAGGCTACACATCATGAGCGTAAAATGTTTATGACTCTACATGTAAGTAATGATATGGTGTAACATAATCAATATTCCCTTGGTACATAATTATCCAAACCTTATGATTAATTTTTGCTCTTTAATTTTTTTTTTTTTTTTATATTGTGTCGTGCTGTCGTTATCAATCTTTATATAGAAGGATAGATTTAATCTACTTCTATGGAGAATGGAAGTGGGAATCATTAAGTGGGTGGAGGATCAATCCCAGTTTTAAATGATATCGGATGAGAATTGACCCTTACCTAATTCTTACAAAGACTTGAATTCCTGATTTCTCTATTAGAAAGTCAGGTCCTTCCCCCTCACAAGGACAAGGGGATCCAAATAAATAAAGGGTAGATTTAGTTATGTTCATGTTCTCTTTACATTGGACACACACACAAATACACATATACACACACGTCATGTGAAGAGTGAAATGTCTTTGAAGGTGCACAATGCTTTCTTTAATTATTTTGGGGGGGTCCTTTTTCTTTTGTTTGAAGAAAGATAAGAAAAGCCTGTGAGTGCACTCCATGCAAACTTTGACTAAATTGAATTGGTTTCTGATACTGGTCATGGGTCCATCCCTATAGAACATTGAACCTCACCAATGTATTAATTGAGATAGATCAACTTTTCTTCAAAGTATACTATGGCTTCTGTTTTCTTTTTTCCAAATTTTACTTTGTCTTAGTTCCCAAGACTCTCAGTTCCAACCCCAATGAATATAATTGAACACCAACGCCAGACTTTTCATCTTTCTCCATTATCCATGAGAGAGAGAGAGAGAGAGGTGGGTTATTTTTCCTTTTCTTTGTGTCTTTTTCCCCATGGAAGATAGCATTGAATAAGGTTTTGAAAATCAAAAACAAAGGGACAGGAAAGATTGGTACCTTGAATTTCAATCATTGTCCTTTATTCCCACTTGGATATATATAGTTGCCGGTTCTGACACGGAGGCAATGTAGAAGCAATCGACTTGTAAATTTTGGTTTTAGTGTTAATCTTTTTCCAGACATGTTGAGGTTTAATTATAAGATCAACAGAAGTTGTTTATGTAGTTGGATGTTGTGCACAGCACTCTACGACTAGCAATTAACATAAAAGGAAAGAATATTACACTTAACCTTGTTACTTTTACTTTTCGGCAAGTAAACGAACATTCAAGAGTTATCACAAGTATAAACCTTTTTCCGTAATTCCCAAAAACATAAGAGAAAAAACATAATTCGAGAGGCCAATGCTTCAGCTAAGATTGGGACTGTTATGCCTTCTGGGAAAACACACATACAGCTACGGGTGCCCCAGCCGGACAAACACACAGAGAAAGAGAGGGTGTGTGTTCTTGGAATTAACAAATGAAACTTTTACTTCTAAGAGAGAGAGTGTGTGGCCTATAGTGAAGTGATGCACAAAAGTAATAAGTATAGTATTTTTGTTAGTATGGATAGTATGTAATTATTGATTGAAAAACAATAAAAAAATATAAGAAAATGGAAAATTGTTATATATCTCTTGTTTGATATTTAATTATGCATGGTTCATTAAAGGAGTGCGGAGAGCATGTGGTAGGAATGTTCTAGAGTGAGGCAGGGGCATCCAATGGATTTGGGGGTCTAAAACGAAATTTATTAATGATGTCCTATTACTATTTAATAAAATAATAATAATAAATATTAAATTTCATTCATTAGAAATATATATATTTTTTTTACTTTTCGATTCAAAATAAAAAATACAAATTAAGTTGCACATTTTAATTTGCTTTTCGATTTTTTTCCGGACATTTCAATCCTTCTAGAAGGCGGGTGGGTCGTAAGTCGTAACAGCCAACAGTGGTTGCACAACCCAAATGTGAACTTGGCAAATTGCTACATTGATTAGTCTCCAACCCAACCACCCCCCCCCCCCCCCCCCCCCCCTTAAGGATTCTAGACTCAGCTTATCATCTGCACCACCAATTTGTGGCATCACTCACAAGCGAGACATAAAATCTCTAGGGATTTAGTATTCGAATAATAAACAGGTAGACATATCTAATATATTGTCAAAATTATCCCATTAAACATTATTTATTTATAACACGTACGAATGAAACACAACGCATGTAAATTTGAATATTCACCATTATAAATGAGTCGAACAAATATTGACACAAGTCTATAACATTCATTGTCATCACTATCCTACTTCCGAATATAATTGACGGGACTCTAAGCGGTTAAGCTGCTCCATATCGCCACGTGAAAAGATGTAGCCATTATGGGACTCAAAGGGCACTGAGAGATGGTGCCGAGGAGTAATGTCTTAGAGGAGTCGAGTACACGTACTAAAAACAGTATTTCAAAAGACATGACAACTCATTAATGAAAACGTGAGTGACTATAATAGGACTATTAATGAATCACTGTATCCTTGAGACGACCCAAACTGACAATCATGATTGCAAAGTATTAATGGCTATGGTGCCGACCATCTTCCCTTGACATATCCCTGGGGGTACTGTTTCCCGAACATTGAACTCCCAAGAGTAAGTGTTAAGTGTTGATCAAAAGAGAAATGATCGAGGTCATCGAGGATAGGGCCGTAAGTGCTCAGCATGTCTAAGCAAGTCACCCTATCACCTAAGTAAACTAGGCGGGAAAATCTGAGTGAGAAACACTCATTACGCATGGATAAGAATGAAAGTCATTAAATATCGAGATAGGACTCCATGTCCTTGCACTCATTATTGATTCAAGTATAAATATTCCTTAGAAAGATAAACAAAAGTACGCAAGATTAAACCAAGAAAAGAGAAACACTATGCTAAAGGCTCCAAATTTATACTGACTTAAATTTCGGAGGGAATAAGTTGGGTGTTCACCCGGTCCCCTTTTCCTGATCCTTTTGTTGTTTCAGGTTCATCATCGATAGGATTGCTATTTATATTCATTGCCGCAAATCTCCCATGCAGTAGTTGTTATATAATTCATCAAAAACTTAGAGTCGTTGGGTTTGCAATAGTATACCTAGAAAAGTTGTCATAGTTTCTCACCATGCAAATTTTCCAGAGGTGAAGGTAGAAGAAATTTATCCAGAAAAAAATGAATTTGTTCATGTGGTTAAAGAGTTGATTAATTTTGAGATGGTGTGTCATCAATCATATACGGGTGTCATGTCAGTCCTGTTGGTTAAAATCATGAATGCATCATTCATCCTTGCCTCGGATACTAAAGAGATAAAAAAAAAAAAATCAAAAGAATAACTAACGCATATACTATATAGGTATAGGAATGGGCCACATACACACAATACAACCAGGCTTAAAAATTTCTCCAACTTGTATGGAGACTGGACATGTAAATGCTGCCACACTCTGGCCTACATCGCAAATCAATGATCCAGACTAACTTTTTTTTTTGAGCCCAAATCGAGAATGCTCCACAGTGGGCCCCTTTCTAGACAACTCTATTGTGTGAATATGTACGTCACGTCAGAGAAATCGAATAATTAGGTGAGTTGAGTTTAAATAAATATAATAAATACTCTTTTTACGAAAAGTCTCAAAATACAAAATTTCATTGTAGTGTTAAATTCTTTTAATTTTCTCAAATTTATCTAAGCTATTATAAATTCATAATTGTATTTTAAAAAATTATATTATATACAAATAAATATAGAATAAGTTTTTAAAATATATTTTAGCACTTATTTTTTTTAAAAATGTCTTATATAAATTAGAGTATATGAATAGTATATTTATATACGTAAATATAAATATGTGCTAGGAATGAGATAAATGTGAAAATTTTAAAATAAAAAGTAAATATTATTTTAGAAACAAAAAAAATTTAAAAATAGTTTAACAAACATTAACAAATGATAGACATGTGAACAAACAAACAGACCTTGAGGTGAACCTGTCACCAGCTGCACCCTTGAGTTGTGCCCTGGACCCGTTGTCGCCCAATCAAGAAATTGTGGTGGGACCATGACCCCACCAGAAGGAAATTTCAGTTCAACAACCGTCTGACAAGCGCATTGGAGATCGAGTCGGAGATGGGGCATCATCCCTCAAATTTCGAGGAGGCGGTGCATAAATATCCATGCAAAATTTTCAAATTATTTTAGGAAAATTTCACTTTATACCCCGAAATATTTTAGATTTTTTATTTTATAACCTTGAATATTATTATTCTATGGAATCGTATCATGAATTTTGTTCAACATAAAAAGACAAAAAAAAAAAAATGTATATTTTGTACTAATTATAAATTATAGCTAATTATCATCATTATAAAAAAGAATAATTGATTATTATTTTAATAATTAATTTTTTTTCAATTATAAGCTGAATATCCATTAAATTTATTCAATAAATTATCTTGCAAATATTATCACTAAAATATTAGAATAATAAAGTCTCTAAACTAAAATTTAGGAAGCAAATATATTAAAAATTTTGAAAATTAATTGACATATAATAAATAGTATAACAATAATCAAATAAAAATAGAGACGAGTTATCGCAAAAGCTAATAAAAGATCAATTACAAGTACTTTTACTTTCAAATTAAGAAAATAAAATTTTAATTTATTAATATAAATATTAAAATCATCTGTAGAAAATCTTAAGATAATAACAAAGGCTAAACAATTGAAGTAAAAGAGTTGAGAGGGTTGGATACAAAAAGCACTTTTGTGTTATTTTCAAATCTATGGACTTGTCCCTTGCAATTGTGAAAAAGTATAGGAGATGTTTGTTTTATTTGTATGTACTATTATATATACCCAATGGGATCTAATCAACTGTACATAGAAGAGTAAGACGTTAAGCCCTGCGCTTATATACCTACGTACCAAGAAAAGAGTCTTGTGAGATACTTGTTTGTAATCATTCACTGATAGAATAGAGTGATTGTTTTGCACTATATCTTCTTTTGGATATCATAGTTAGGAGTGAGAAAGAAAGCATGGGTGCTCTGGATCATCTATCTAATATCTTTGATTGCTCAAGTGGCCGAAGTTCCAAGCTCAGGAAACGCAAGCAATTGCAGGTAGGTATTGTCTCCTTCTCTTTGTTTTATGCTTCTTCATGTATTAATTAGTTTGTTTATGCCATTCTAAACTCTAAAGAGACAAACTTCAACTTGTCTGCTAGCTAGCTACTAACTTATATATAATAATGGTTTTACTATTGAAGATTCTGAGGGTCGTTTTTTAAAAATAACGATCTGGATCAGTTCTTCCACAACCTAGATGTTCTCTGTTTTTAGTTTTTCAGTCGTTTTCTTTGATTCTCCAACTTGGGAGAGTCATGAAATACTCGCCGGCCGGACAGGAAAATACCCGGTTCGGCGAATGGCCGGCGTTCTCAGTCCCACCGTACTTAATGTAATGAAAAAGTTAGATCATTTCTTAGTTCTTATCTAGCTATGACTTGCACGGTAGCATGATAAGAGAGATGCTTTAGCTATTTGCTTCGATATTGAATAGTGAATCATCAGCCTGTTATTCCTGGACCTTTAATCAGGTGATTGAGAGCCCTTTCACACATGACTCTCGGATCAGTATGACCGACTTTCTGATGTGTTTGAAACCCGGTTTGCGGTTATTTAGCTGAGGATGTATGTTGGGAAGAACCTAAAGCCCTTGTGATGGGAGGCTTCATCAATGTAGTGTATAGGTAGGTTGGAGAACGAAAAAATGGAAAAGAAATCTTCCTTGTCCTAGAAACCTCCTCTAACCGGTAGGATGTTCTGGAATAAACTTGTAATCGGTGTTAGTGATTTTGATTAATGATTCCCTCTATTGTGTGGGCCAAACAGTGTCTGGATCTGGACTCTATTTCGACGTACGTACTGACAAGTCTAGCAAAATGACAAAGAGTAAAGTTACATAAATTTAAAAATTAAATGACAATTAATAGATCCACCTACAATAAATGACCGGTGACCAAAAACAAAATACAATAAATCACTAGCAACGTTATTTGGATAAAAAATATTAACTTAATTTGTTAATTTTATTAATTATTGTTATTGATTTAAATATTAGTTTCACTGATTTAATTACGATTCTAAATAGTTGTCATTGATCATCTACAAATTAAATTAATATTTTAAGCGTAAATTGCATTTTCTATAAAAAAAAAAAATTAATACATGAGTTGAATTACTATGATTAAAAATTGTGGTTAAAATATTAAAATATAATATAAATTAATCTAAATAATTTAGATTGTTGGTGTATTTTTTACAAGGGAAGAGTTTGGCTCTCTATAAATGATAGGTCCAGAAGAGTTGGTGGTGTCGTTTAAATATTTGGATAAGCTTCGCGGTCCTAAATGGTCAAACAAAAGGTGTTTACAGACACTTGTACGATTTGAGTAGTGTTACATGCTGGCATCCACCTGTAAGCCCATTCTTTTCCTGGTACACTCGCTTTTATCATGATGGGCCATGCACCGCATGGCTTCTGGGCCCATACCCACTTTTCAATTGGGTAAAAAGAACATAAATTTGTACGCCATAACATGAAGTCCCAATGACAGATATTTAGGTGCCAATATCAATTTTTTTTTTTAAATTAGATGGATTTCTTCGACACTAGCTAGGATTTTTTTTTTTTTTTTTCAGTTCAATGGTCAGGATGTCCGAATTAGTTTATGCATAATTTAACTAATTTTCTCTACGATCTGGTTAAAGACAGACTATTCACGCCAACATTAGGATATTTACGAAAGATAAATTTTTCATGGTCTAATCCTAAGAATTGTCAAGATTCAAATTCAAAACGTCTAAATTTACAATTCATCCCTATTACTAGTTGACTACTCTTGAGGTTAGCTAGGATTCACCCAAGTGTCTGAATCTCTAAGGGACTGTTTGGTATATTTTTTGGGAAAAGTTTAGATTGGCTTGTCTAAACCCAAAGATGGGATTCAACATTTAATGATATTCATACTCATGTTTGATATTTCAGGGATATATGACTTTTATAATAATATATTTGTATGTAAATAACTGTTGTGTCCCTTAACTAATTTGTATATATGAGATATATAAGATATATGAAGATATAAATGTCATTTGCATGTTAAACCTACTAACCCACATATAAAACGCACCCTTTCATGAGACCCATAAATTTGGGTTTAATGACCGGACCGGGTTTCAAATCCTAAATTACATGTGTATTTGTCAAATATGGGTTTGAGTGGGTTTATTCCCCAACCCATATTCCAAAACTCCCTCCCCCCTTCCCCCCAAAAAAAAAAAAAATTCACATACCAAACAGACCCTGAGAATTTGAGCCAAAGTTTAATTCAGGGTTAAATTTCTTGAAAACTTCAATGCAAGTGAAAAAAAGGATGGTTGTTTGTGAGAAAAAAGTTAGATGTAAATGGCCTTTTTTTTTATTCATGGAGATAACTTTATTATTGTTTCAATCAATTTCTCATCACGTGGAATAACCTCAAAATTGTGGAATCCTATTGCCTCTGAATTTTGATGTTATTTAAGAGGACCCAAATACTACTTAGAATCTATTAACATGGTCTTATAGATTTCACAGTATATGACTAGAATTGAAAATCGAGTTGAATTTTGCGAGTTCGAGTCAAGTATATTGAGATCGTTTTTTAAATGATCCTAAAAAAACGTTTAAATCAATTTGTTTAGAAAATAAGTCGAGTCAAACCCGAATTGCACCTTGTAACTTGATTATTTTACATATAAATCAAACAAATTTTGTGACCTTGATTCGAGTTATTTAAAAAACTTATTGAAGTTTAAGTCATGTTCTAAACGAGCGAGTTAGAGTCGAATTCAAGTTAAGTCGGAATAGTTTGGCTCAATTATCATTTCTATACATGATTAAACTCGATGAGTATTTAAAAAAAAGAAGGAATTGAGAGTGTTCGAAGCTTCTTTTGCAGCCCGACTTGTTTAGTCTAATCCTCTCTTTTTTTTCGTTTGTCTGAATACTTGCTTGATCTGATTGGATCCACTGATTTATTGGTATGGCTTGATCAGACGGTGGAGATAAAGGTGAAGATAGACTGTGAAGGATGCGAGAGAAAGGTGAGAAGAGCTGTGGAAGGAATGAAAGGAGTGAACTCAGTAGAAGTGGAGCCCAAGCAAAGCAAGCTCACTGTCGTTGGATATGTGGACCCTCAAAAAGTTGTGAGCCGTGTGGCTCATCGGACGGGCAAGAAGGTGGAGCTGTGGCCTTACGTTCCATACGACGTCGTAGCACATCCCTACGCACCTGGTGTGTACGATAGGAAGGCCCCAGCTGGGTACGTGCGATATGCTGAGGACCCACAGGTTTCTCAGCTTGCACGTGCGAGTTCCACCGAGGTACGGTACACCACTGCCTTCAGTGATGAAAACCCCGCTGCTTGTGTTGTAATGTGATCATAAGCATTACTGTTCTATTATTATGCTGCTTAATCGTAGATTGTATGCACAATTTTAAACCCTTTCTTTTCTTTTCTTTTTTTTTTTTTTGGGTGTGTTTTAAACCAAATTGCAAACTCTCTCTTGTTTTGTGATGAATGAATGGAGTTGTAACGATTTCGTTTTCGTGTCTGCAAAATAATCAAAAACAAAAACAATTTTTTTCTCTATTTTGTGATAAACACTAAAACAAAAAAATATATTTGGATGTCATTTTTGTCTATCAAATTATGATAATAAAAAATAAAAAATATATTTAGTAACTATTTTACGTTTTATCTTAAATATGTTTTATAATATATCGTACAACAAAATACAAATTCAAAAATTCATGAAAGATCTATATTAATCCATCAAAGATCATCAAACTCATTCAATCTACTCATTAGTTTGTTAGCCAAAAAAAAAAAAAATTGGGATTAAATGGCAATTCAATCAATTCCAAATAGTAATTTAATCCCAAATAGTTATTCAATCAATCCCAATTGATAATTAATTTTCAAATGAAAATTTATTTCTAAATAGTAATTCAATCGATCTTAAATAGCAATTGAACAATTCCAAATGACAATTCAGTCGACAACTAATCCAAACACAACACAATACACACAGAATATAATACACACACACACACAGACTCATCTCTCTCTCACACACACACGCACAAATCTGTGTAGATTTGCACAGATCTGTGTATCACACAACATAAAACACACACAGACTCGTCACTCACTCATAAACACACACAACACATACACACAGACCTGCCACTCTCTCTCACACACACACACAGATCTATGCATATATGTATAGATCTGTGTCTTTGTTTTTGGATTTCACAGATAGCAAGCAAGAGAGAGAGAGAGAGAGAGGGTTTCGGTTCGTCTTCGTCGAGAGAGAGAGAGAGATGTTAAGAGCTCCAGAGAAGAAAGAGAGTTGCTGAGAGTGGAGTAGAAGAGAGAGAGTCGATCTGTGTGTAGGAGAAGAGAGAAAAAAGACTCTATTTATACTTTGATAAATGAACGAGCCTTTTATGCCTGACAAAACTCAAAATTGAGACTTCATTTAATCAAGAAGCTCGTGTTTTGTGTTTTGCGTGTTTCCTGAAACACAAATTTTTTGTTCTCATTTTTTTTGTCTTTATTTCCAAATAACAAATGTAAAACAAAAACAATACTCAAACATTTTTTTGTTTTCATTTTTGACAAAAATTGAAAACAAAAACACAAAATAAAGACAATAAACAAACACCCTCTAAATTTATCTGGTATCTCTAGGGTTAGCCTATTTTGCTGGTATCTCTGTAACAAACTATCTTTATCTTCACACGCTTTTGGGAAAAAAAAATTTATCTAATATTATAGTTTGAAAATTGAATTTTTAATTTATAAAAGCATGACAAAAATGAAAATTGGTTTAATTTTTTATTACTTTGATCTAATAGTATAAAATTCATCCTAATTTTTTTTGTGGCTAATGCCAAACTACCTCATTAATCCACAAATATATTTTTCTTATTTTCTTTCTACCCACTTTAATTTTAAATTATATAATTTAAAAAATATTCTTTAAAATAAAAATATTTCACAATTAATGCTTGATGTGGGGCTATCGTAGAGAGTGTGGAGGTTATTACTAGTTATATTATATAATATGCCACAAAATCCAACCCCTAAACTAAACCCCCATAAAAAGATAAATAAAATTACAAATACAAAAATCCAGGGTTTTAGGCTAAATCCATAATTTGAATTGGAACTCCAAAAGAGTTTGACTTCAAACAAAACACCTCTAAACTTTCCCTATCCTAAACACAGAATAAGATCAAATGACGAACCCACAGGTTACCCCCAACAACATATATAATACATAGGTGTTTGTGAGTATAACTGGGGCAACTTATATCAATCAATTATAAGAGTCTTTTGTAAAAACCAAGGCAGACATGATAGGCATAGCTATTTTTCTATCAATTCAGTATTGTGGGTCAGTAATATTTTTTCGAGTACTTCTCCATCCTCTAGTACCTATATCATGGGGGCCTATGGAATTGGAAACCTCCTCCGTGAAAGTATTCATGGCGGAGTTGGTTGCTATCGTCTTGGCCGCCATTATTGATGTATTGCATATGATTATATGTAACAAGGTTGAAGAACGCATCTCTAAAGCACGTCTCCGATATGGCACCAGAATTTTATTTATTTACGTTTGCAGCCATGCCTTTGCACACATTATTGCCAAAGGAAATATGTTTGTTGTTGTTGCTCTTTCTGCCATGTCTATCATTGTGACATCTAGTTTTAAAGGGGCTGCAACCTTTCGAGATTCTGTGGTTATTGCTCGTTGGGTGATGGTTCAGTCAATGATCACTGCGTTTATTCTCATCCTCAAAGGCATGTTAATGGCGGCAATTATAACAATATTTCCTGCCCTTACTGCAGTTTTTGCCATGGTGAGGATTCAACTACTCCTTTTTTTTTCAAAGTTATCTCCTTTTCTACTCTAATTTTGTTTTGTTTTGTTTTGATTTGTGTCTCAGCGCTGCTTCAAATCAAAAAATTTACCCGTTGGTGCTAAGACTGAGTAAGTTGTTTTCCCACGATTTTTCTCTCAGCTTTTGCATTAAGTTTTGTTTAAAAAAATTTGTTGCTTTATATATCCATTCTTCGTCTGCTCCTCTTTCTAATTTTCATTTTTCTTTTTTGCATTGCAGAAAATTAGACTGAGCAGCAGCATTACCACCGTGGGTAACTTTTTTTATAATGCTATGCTATTGAGTCCTGATCCAACATTGACATTGTAGCGGACTTGTATTTCTTTTATTCATCTCATGATCCAACTTTCTAATAGACATTTATTTCACTGCCTAATGAACGAACGGATCAATCTTTTTTAAGGGTCTAACGTAACCATAGTTTTTTTTAAAAAAATGTTATTTGGATGACCTATTTTTTGTTTAAATTAAATATCGACGATGCAAGGGTGGAATTTTATTCAAATATCTCAGTGGGTTATAACCTTACTTTAAGGAGGAGTAATCTTACCTCGAACTATGGTAACTTTATACCTCAAAGAGTTATAATTTTACCTTAAAGGTTGTTGTAACATTATTTTTAAACATGGTAACTTTACCTCAAAGAATTATAATCTTGTCTTAAAAGGTGGTAACCTTACCTTTAACAATGGTGACTTTACTTCAAAGTGTCAAACACACTCTTTTGTTTTGTGAGGAATCTATTATTTTGGTTACCTTGTCCATGGGAACCATGGTCTACGCTCTTCATATTTCATCTATCTTTCTTTCCCGTCTTGTCGTACAAATATTTCTATACCCTCCTTGAAGTAAAATTGTAATTAATTCAATGGGATTAAAGTTATGAGTCCATGGAATTGAGCATCAAAATTAACAAGTTGGGATTGATTTTGGATTTGTTGGATTGAAACTGAATCGATTTTGTTCATAATGTTGTTGTATGTTTGAATTGTGATTTGATTTAATTTTTCAATTGGTGTATATTGAATCGTATTGTAGACCAAAATAATAATAATAATCATCATCATGTCTACTGAATAATAGTATTTCTGGATCCAATTCATCGATATTGTTGGATTGGGAAGAAAGCTTTTCTCTTATTATTTTTCTGATGGCTATTGTGGTGGGTTTTACCTGCTGTGAAGTGGTACTGGTGATATACATGATACTGGAATCGAATGGAAATGAAGAAGGCTGGCTAATTCATTGATTAAAGTAGTAAATGTACTACTACCTGACCTCTATTACTGCCTCTATTACATTAAAACCAAAATACTTAAGCTGGAATCTAGCACTATGATACAACGATAAAACCATCCACCACGCTAACTAAGCCACTGCCCCCAAGAAACTAACCTCCATTTGCTGCAAACAAAAAACAAAATCAGATTAAATTTTTGTACTGTTAGTCTGTTACACATAAACACAATCGTACCGCTGCAAATAAAGAAAACCCCCAAGGAACTGTAACCACCGCAGCTGCCAGATATAATTTTATGAACAGCCACCAACTCTGCAATGGCACCTCCGCATTCCACACACACACTCTTTATGAAATCTTCGTTGTCAACGTAATTGGTGAAAAGAGCCAAAACGGAAAGAAGTGTTAAAAATTTAAAGAAAATTTTTTGTAATTATTTATTTAAATATTTTAGGAATATAGTGAGGATTAATGTATTTGAGAATTTCAATATCTAGAACCTTGTAGAACATATTCGCATTTGGTATTCTTCTTGAGCCTTCTACCAATATTTAGAACCGTCACTTTTCTACCAATGCTCATCACTAAGTTAGAATTCTTCTAAACTTCTACTTACTTTGAGTTTGTAGACCCTTCTCTAATCACCTATTAATAGACCCCTATCAACCTAAATCAAAAGGGCAACAAAAACGCAAATCACCAACAACAATTACCAGCTTATTCTTTCCTTTTCTCTGGTTTCTATTTTGTAAGTTTTTTATTGTAATTTAGTAACTTAGATTTATCCATAATAATAAAGGTATTTTTCTTCTCACACTTTTTGGAGCTATATTCTAATTTCTTTGTTTTTCTTCAACTTTAGTTGTGACTCTTGAGCTAATAAAAATTTATTTTTCACTATTTTAAAAAAACAATTTTTAGAATTTGAAATTTGTCTTTCTTCACGAGAAGCACATTAAGGAAGCAACTCATCGCGATGATGGGAAGAATATTTTTGCTAACTACAAACCAGCGGTGAGAAAGCAAACAGATAATTCATTTGGAGTAAAAATAGCACCACCAAACCGGGACCTCTAAAATACGCCAGCAACCAACAATATCAAAAGAAATGAGAACAACGATAGCTATGAAGATGAAGATTGCATACAAAGATTGCATACCAAATCAACTTTTTTTTTTTATGTAATGGAGATATGTTAATAATCACTAATTTTGGTCTCAAAATTATCACAATTCTTCACAAAATAATTTTTTAAAATCCCTTTGTTTCAAGAGTAAAGACTACTACTTTGAAATTACGACGGAAGATCAATTCCCAATTTTTGAAAATACATCCACACATTCAGAATTAATTCCACAATGGAGCCTGCAAAACGAATCACTTGAACCGAATGAAATGACAAATATTGGTATACATATCATTATCTAAGTAAACCCACAAAAGGAGACCACCCTTTATTGAGCAGCAGAGCAAAGGCTACTTTCAACAACAAACATAGCCCAGCAGCAGCTACGATACCAAATGACCCAGTCTTCCCGATACAATATACAGTTTAAATAGTTAGTTTGAAGACAGACTCATGACAAATCAAAAGATCCCTGCCCTTCGCTGATTGCATACAGCAGTTTCTTGTACATGATTTCCTGTTACAAAGAATAAAAGTCATCGATGGAAAAACAGAAACTGAATAAGCAAATATTGCCGATACAACATTTTCACCGATGAATCACCGGATAACATAATGGCTAGCTAGATAAAGCATCATAAGGAATCCCAAAACCAAGAGTTTTTCTTAACTAACTGGTACCTTTGAAGAATAGGGTGGAAGCTTTAAATAATTAGCACATGTCATCACACTTGGCAAGTCGTCATCTGCAGATTCTGAAATCCCAGTCCCATTCGATGTTGTGTTGCTGGGGGTAGATGAATGCTGCACCCAGACATATGAGGGAGAGTGAATATGCAACTATGGCATAAATAATTCCAGATAACCACCTGAGGGCCTATTTGATATTTGCTCTGATATTTACCTTTCTCACAATGGTCAACTTTGGATTCAGCACTGCCAGACCACCAGGGGGAAGACGAGGAGCACCAGTTACAAATTGACAGAAGGCCCGTTGCTGCTCTGGGGTAAATTCCCCCATAATCTCAAGTAACTGAAGACAACAAAATAAGATAATTTTCAAAATAAGTGGTGTGAAATCAAATGGGTACCATTTCAAGGAGATGAGATCCCAGCCATAGAGAGGAAGGACAGAGGGAAGAAAGGGTATCCATACATAAACAATCGCAGGACTTTTGGCAGTGTATCCATGGTCAAATTTAATGTGATCAACAAGTGTCTCAGCCTGCATAAGAATGAATTTTGTTATTAACCATGATAACGCAAGGAATACAGGTACTATCTGTTGTCACATAGCAACAGGAAAATCACATCGAAAAAAATATCACCTTCCACAACTCTCTGCGGCCACAAAGCAAATAATCCAATTCATTTGGAGAAAATATTTGTAGACTTGAGACGTCAAACACCTGACAGCAGTTCAGAAGAGACAAAATATGATTAAAAATGAAGTGGTGGTTCTTCCAATTAAATAATATTTTTGAACATTGCCATGTAGATACAAACATGACCATGGAAAGAAAATTCAGCAGTAAAGATGGCAAAGATTCACAAGGCCATGTTGACTGCAACATGAACAATGATGCCACATTCGCCAACCCAAAAACACAACTTATAAGAGGAAGTAATACAATTTGACATCAAAGAGACTAAAATTCTCAAGAGTAACTACTCATAACCATTTAGCAGAGGAAACCGCATACCTGATTAAACCCAGCCCTAAATGCATCCACCTGCCTCATAATCCCAGTCCTGACAGTAGCATCAACCACCAGCGAAATATACTCCTCCAAATTACTAACATCAACCTGCAAATTTTAACAAACCAATATGAGAAATACGGTCACAAACACAACCAACAAGAAAATGGATGTGCTTGAAGATACATTCAAGGAAAAATAAGTTACATTCTCATCGCCTTGTTTCAGAATGTAATCAGGATAACCAGGGATGGTGAAATCCAAACAAAGATTTTCAATGAGAGCCCCACGGAAATGTAAATCAATTATTTCATTGCGATCACGGCCACCAATGGATTCCAGATAATGTTTCCGGCTAACAAGGGCTTGCAATTCTTGCAAAGTCTTCCCAAGCTCCGTATCAAAAGAAATAATATCATGCAAATCAAGTTCCTGCAATGAATTGGAGAAACCATAATTTTCTCATTAAACCAAACCATACCACGGGTTGACAATAAAAAAGTGCAATATTTAACCTCAAACAAAGTTAACTAGGGAATTTGCTTACTTGGCCAAGCACAAGCTTATAAAAGGCGGTTGACAGCGGCAGGTCCAAAAGCCGCCCATCTTGAAGAGCTTTAGCCATCACACGCCCAAGCAATCGAAAATACTCAATTACTTTATACAATTTACTACCATCAGAAGCATCAGAATTTGGAGGCCAAGGACGAGGGAACAAGCCAAGGGGTGCTTGGATCAGACCTGTATCGCACCCATTTGATCCCTGATCAGATGCGCTATTAGCTATTCCATTTCCATCTTTTTGTTCATCTATATCAACTTCCATGGAAGGTTTATCTGATGAAGAATATCTCCACATTCCCAGTCCAGCTTTTTGCAGGTCATGACTTAAAAGGGTATAAAACTCCAAGGTAGGCCCCAATCCAGTGCCAACTTCACCAAAATATTCTACTTCGAGGACAGCCTTTTGGCTTGAATACATCTCCATGACTTTTGCAGCAGAATCCAGAATACGGTTTCGGGAAACACGAACTTTCTGGCGCTGTAATCTCCCTACCCTTACCTCTCTCTCATTTGTCAATCCATGTCCATCTGCACCTTGCTGCTGCTGAAGCCGATACAATGCACGGGACAACCCAAAAGCAGTTGAATAGAAATATTGACGCCGAGTCTCAAAAGGAAACAAAAATGGGCATGCTTTTGTCAGCTGGTAACACCACGATGGAAGACTCCCACTGCAAAGTGCAAGCGCATCCTGGATTTGTCGAGCCAATTTAGGAGTGAGCTTACTATTAATGAATTCATCGGGGGGAACCCTGACACCGGTGACACTCAGCTCATCTAGACACAAAATCTTCCCTTCAGAGAAACTGTCTGTCACTACCTGAATTCGTAAACGTGGTGCAAGCTGATTCAACCCCTCTAATACACGCAGTAGTGCCAATATGTTATATGTGGGATTGATTTTTTCCATATCACAGGGAAGTTCCCCCTGCAAAATGCTATCTAAAAGCGAGATTCGATTAAGTGAGGAATCAATATTGGAATTGGATGTGGAACCTGCTTTTGTAGATTTAGACGGGGTTGTCGAACTCGCAGTCCCAGCTGAAGGTCTCTCAGTTTGGCCGTCAGCCCTTCGGTATGTGATGGTGTAAATATCGCTCCATAGCCTACTTCCATCACTAGATACAAAATCACTGCCAGCATACCTCTCATCATCATCATCATCCAGGACAAGTTGTCGTTGGATGGCCTGATATATTGTTAAATGCCTATTAAGTTGCTTTCCACCAGCAGAAAAAAATAGTCTAGGCGGATCATTAGAGCCAAATAGATGATGTCCCTGCCTATCTCTGCCTCCCCTGATCCCCCGACCGTTTGCAGATGCAAGCCCAGCCATGGCAGCAGCAGCAAATGACATTGCACCCTTAGAACCAAATGAACTCCCACCCCTAAATTCAGCAGAATCCAAGCCCCTTACAGTAGCAGCTTTGCTGCTAGAACCAGAGGCTGGATTGGTCTGGCTATCACTTGTTTGGGTAACAGGACTGTCCTCAATGGAATCACCCAATTTTACATCGTGCACTTTGTCTGGCATACAAACAGGAAGAGAATCATCCCTCAGTACCTGAAAATTACAGCCAAGATAACTGTCAAGTCAAAATTTATCTGATATTACTACTTTTACAAGCATTTGTACCTATTGTCTCAGATGGCATTTATCTGTGCCTTACTATAACTGACGGGTTAGATGTTCTATGGGTGGAATGACCAACCTCGCCAACATGATTCAGGTTATTTTCCCCTTCCATCTCATGCATATAATGGCATGGTCGGGTTCCTAAAAGGTATTCCAATTCACTCAACCTTGTCTTCTAATCATGTTCTAGAGATCTTCACTGAATAACCTGAAAGCAGTGGTCCACACACTGGGACACAACTGCGCTAGCAGCTTGACTGACCTTTTTGTTGTCATCAGATGCGTAAGTTGCAAACCAAAATCACCTTAAGCTTCCTTATTCCCCCCAGAAACTAAAATTAGTAAATATGAGGAAGACCAATAATTGCACAAATTCAACATATATCAGGAAAAAAGAAGGGGAAAATAATAAATTAGGAGATTTGATAACATACATCATCATGGTCGTCTTCATCATCATCAGAGATATCATCATCTTCAATTACCAAGGCATCGTCAATCTCAACAGGAGAAATGTCCAACTCCTCATCCTACAAAGCACCAAAAAGGGGCGTGTTCGTATAGCAGGACTCACAGATGTTAAAACTCTAAAAGAGAGACTGAAGCAAGATTTCTAAGTGGGAAGAAAAAAAAAAGCAAAAGAATAAGAAATGACAATAAGAGACATAAATCACTAAGCAAAAAACTGGGCAAGACTTGTATATCTCATTACATTGTACATGTTCAGTAATTTTCAAAGATGTTTCATTTTGACATGACACCTCATGTTACAGCTATATCCAAGTCAATTCACATTCAATATCATTTACAAAACATAGAAACATATATGACAGTATAAGGCATACCTCAGAACTAGAATCCCCATTCACAGGCTTCTTTTGTGCATCTTCATCAAGAGCTGCTCTTCTGCGAGCAGCATTTCTTGTCTGAGGACCTCTCCCCTCCTCCTGACCAGGCTTCAAAACAGCTTTTCCCTTCCCCTTTGACGAGCTTGCATTTTTCTCTTGTGACTCCTTCTTGGTTGTGTCTCCTATATTAACAGACGATCTGGATCGAGTAGAATGGCGACGAGTAGTGGAAGGAGTAGAAGTAGACGGTGATGAAGCACCTGCTCCAGTAGGTGTAGTCCCAGACTCACTGTTCCCTGCAGATGCCAAAGGCTTCTGCCCAGACTCACTTCGTTGAACCCGGGGCCAAAGAAAGTCTTCAACAGCTGCTAGACTCGCTAATGGATCAATCAGGACAACATTTGAAGAATAGTCACGAAGAGATTTTTCTCCTGATGCTCTACAAAGACGCAACTTAAATGGCTGTGACAATGCACCTAGACCAGAAGATAGGCGTGCATTACCACTAGATGACCTAGAAGTATGGCTCAGCACAACAGGAAAACGCTCTAAGGAGGACAAAGCATTTTGAAGCTTTTCAACCAAGACAGACATTGGAGCCACATTCCCTTTGTCAAGACTTGCAGGGAGGGCGACTGCAACAAACGATTTGTATCTTCTGATTGCTTGCTGTCGAAGCTTAGTTAGATTATCTTCTGAAATTCTTTCCTTGGAGAAGTATCCACAAGAAAAGTAATTCAGCAGAGCAGCTACGACCCCACTACCAATGAACTCAAAAGTGGACACGCCATCCCCTTTGCTTAGCTCCGCCAGCATTTCAGATATTACACCAACCAAATTATCCTCTTTACAAGCAGAGATGTCGACAAAACGACCACCAGAAGCTTTACCCTTTCCCTTTGATTTAGTTTTTTGGTCATCCACCCCAGCATTCAGCTTCATGCAAAGATTCTTCAAATGTAAAAGATCATCAGTAACACCAGCTTCGCTGGTCCCAGGGTCTGAAGGGAAGTACTTATCTTTGAATGTTTTTGCACAAGCACTGACTGCCACACGAAGACTAGAATTGACAGTCGGAAACTCTATCGACTTTGGAGGTGAACCAATAACTGGAACTGGATTCTTAGAATCATCAGCAGAATTTACATCTAAATCTGAGTTACCACCGCGTCTTCGATGACGCCTAGAGCGTGATGATGATCCAGGTATAGAATCATTATCCTTCTCGCTCGATGATGGTTGGGAAGTAGCAGTACTAGGAAGCCTCGCTAGGATGAGTGCATCTACAGCATGAACGACACCTTCTCTCACAAACATCTTGGAAAAAGTACCAGGAAGCTTGTCCATCAGAATCTCTGCAATTTGAAGGGCAGGCACCAAGACTTGCGGATCTTTCCATGCTAAAACCCCAGCTAGGAAACTAGGGAAACAACAGAAAAAACTCTACATAAGTACTTGTACACACTTGTCATAGACAAAGTATATCATTTCATTGTGGATTAAACATGGTATACCTTGATAAGTTTGTCATGGTTACTAAAGACTGGATCATATCCGCAGAGCTGAAGTACATCAGTTTTCCAATGACAGAGAGGCATTTGTGACGAACAGGACCATTTACACTAGATCCATATATCTGCTTGACAGATTCTTGTGATATTAACTAATGGCAGAACTGAGAGTCAACAATACTTAGTTCTCCAGAAAACTAACCTGAATTAAAACAGGAAGAAGGTCCATTCCAAACTGCTGCAGAAGCTCAGGCTGATCATTTAATAGTTTCTCTCGAGTTGAAACCTCGGGTACATTTCCATTTGAATCTTCTGGTTCACCAGAACTGCTGACAGAAGATTTCTTTGAAATAGATCCTTTGAAAAATAAACCAGAGCTGGCTGGAAGAGAGATGATTCCTTGAGGCAGTGGAGGAAGGAGCTCATTTGCTAGGTTCACAATCTCAAATATCTGAGCAGTCAATAAAAATCAGAAGAATTTCAATACCAAAATCAAGAAACAGTAGCTAGGTTAAAACTGACATCAAGACCAAATGCACAAATTCAAAATTTATGCAGCATGCTATAACACGTTAACAATATACATAAAATTAAATTTGAATGACAAAATGGAAAACTAAAGTCCCACAATGAATTTAATAGTGTACTAGCCACGAAAGTGCAAATCTTGCCTCTTTTTGAAAGGATTGCAAAAATAAAAGCATATAACCACCAACCGTAGCACCCTAAAATTACTTTTGCAGAAAGCCATGCAAAATCCCATCAGAAGATACTTGCCGTGAAAGAACTTCATGCATCCAGAACTGATGCTATACAAAAATTTTCAGTAACCAATACAGAAGGTAAACAACCCATACCAACCACAAAGCACACCAGATTGCAAATCTTAGTTATCTAGATTCGTATAAGGGCTCTATGAGCACCTCATAAATTAACCTCTATGTAACAACTAAACAAAGAAACAGTACCTGCTCTGGCGGTCTACTTAAGGCAGGTGAAATAGACATGCTCGCAACAAGTCCAGAACCAAATAGTATGTCTTTAAGAATACCACTGATCCCGAGGAGCAGCAATGCTTTGGCTCCTAGATGGGAACCACTTGCACATGTAGAAAGTAATCGGATTAAGCCCTGCATATCGTGTAAGTCACAAATGTAGCCTCCATAAACAAAATCACTGAACTTGAAATCAATAACAGCACTTACCGTGTAAGTAGCTGAGCTGAGGGAAGCCTGACCACCTCCAGAACTACTGGTCGAAATTAGTGAAGCTGCTTGTGTAACCAGTCCATGATTGCATAGTTCATCCAGCTTTTCTGGAGATGATGCAAATGACTCTGCAATCCGAGTCAAACAAACAGACGCATGCTCCAAAACCTAAAAACAAAACAAAGCAAACAAAGAAGAGGAAAAAGACAAGAAGGGATTAGTTCTCCAAAATTAACTATATGAAGTTGAGAAAAATGCCTCCCATTGTAACAGAATAATAAACTCACCTTTGCATCATGATACTGAAGGAGGTTTGTCAACAAAGGAACAGCTTCCATCACAAAATCAGCGGCGTCTGATGGGAGTTTCTTGCACATATTTGCAGCAGTAGACAATGCCACTCTCTGGGAAAAGTATTAGAAGAAAATAAATTAGTTTGAAGTATCACACAACAATGCGAGTTTCCAGAACATGAACCATACCATGCCGATTACTCTAATTAGCTTACCTGGACTCCGGTGGAGAAGAAGTCGAGGTACGAAAGCACTGCCATTAGAGCACCTGCTCGCAAGCAGGCAGTTGGATGTTCCTGAGATATCTTTTTCAGAGCTTGCAGAGACTGTTCCCATTAAAATAAACATCAATGTCAATTCGGAAGTTTTAAAACTATAATTATGTCTTGCTAATATGTATTGAACATCATAAACAAAGAATAATAATAATGATACGAAACTAATATCTAAGAAATGCGGTTCTCAGAATACTACAAGTAATTTTTATCCATTCAAAGTGGTTTTCAATAAATTTTCTTGTTTCTTCCAACTGATAACTTGCTCACCTGTTCAGCCAAGTCCATGTACTCAATTGTGAGCAATCGAGCAACGAAACATGAAACCGCACCATAATGCACAACCGCAGCACAAGATGAGGGAAGCACATCAACGAGATGGGTCAGTGCTCTGGCAGCAAGAAGCATGATATCCACATTGCTCTCATGGTTAAGCAACCCCACAAGCACCGGAACAAACGAGTCCACTGAAAAAGTGCTCAAAGACTCCTCAGTCCCAATCGAAAGCATCTCGCAGAGCTGCGTCAATGCCTCCACTTGCTTGCCTTCCTCGCCATCCGCCCTCAACCCCGATAAAATCTTCTTAAGCCGCCCGCTTTGATGCGATGAAGACGCAGACGGCATTGCCGAACTGGGAAGCAAATCATCCAAACCAGCACCCAATTTTCTAAGCAGACCTTGAAGAGCACTGCTCGCTGAAGTAAGATTCTGATGCAAAAGCCCAACACCGCCTTCGCTATCGTTATCATCGTCGTCGCCACCATCGCCGTCAATATTCAAACCCAAGCTCCTCTCGGTGTCTCTATCTCTATCCCTAACCCTGACTTCATGCTCTTTTTCCTTTCCTTTATCGGAATTATCCTTATCAGAGTTCTGACTAGGGTTCTTACCGCGTCGGCCACGGGAAGCGGACCCGGACGATTCGTTGGTGGAATCCATCGCAGTTGACGAAACAGCTAGTGAGTCTTGTGAACGAGTACTGACACGAGAACGAGTCGAAACCGATGAATTGACGGCGACGCTAGTGGTGACTCCGGCGGGGACTGAAGATGCAGCAGCGGTGACGGAGAGACGGGCACGCTTGGAGGAACGAGTGGTTGGACCAGAAGAAGAAGAAGAAGGGGCCGATGAGGTAGCCTCCGCCCGCTTCCGACTCCGAGTTTCCATACAAAACCGCAAAACCGCGAATCGGCCTCGCCGATTAACGGCGATCAATGGCTTCCCGATCCGCAACTTCTTATCATCTCTCAAACCCTAAATTCCAAAATTCACAGAAAAAATAAAGATCAAACCTTTCTCGAACCAGCTCCACAATCCCCAAAACACCCAATCACAAACCTTAACCCTTCACCAATTTTCGATTGAAATCAATAGCTACAAGTAATCGGTGATCGATTAAGATATTGGGGCTTTAGACGAGGGACACAGAGAGAGAATTGTAGAGCGAGAAAGGAATAAGTTTAATTGGTGGAAGAAGAAGAGGAAGGGAAAGAGTTAAAAAGAAAACCCTAATTGATTTTGAGTTATATTCTCGCTTCAACGTGTATGAATATGACTATATCTAGGAGGGGGTACGTTTGGCGGTGGGGTAGGCGTTTTGTATCAAACGTGTGAGCTTCCAATCCATGGCGGTGCCGGTGAATCCTACTCCACGGCCCTTTTAACAATTTTTGACCCGATTACGGCAATTCCACACAAAATTGATATTAAATTGTTAGGTTTAGATTTAATTTTTATAAATTTAAATAATAATTAGGTAACTTGACATAAAACTGTACAAATACCACACAAACCCTTTTAATTTATTTTTTTTTGGGGGTCATGAAATTTCCTTAATATGACCTATATACACGTATAAAGAGTTATTTTATATTCACTATTAAATTAATAATTGAATCGAACTACTCGAGCTTAGTTCGAGTTCAATTTATTTTGGGTTTGTTTTTTAAATGAGTCGAATTTAAAAAAAAATTTAAGTTTGTTTAAAAAATGAGTTTTAACTTATTTATGTGTAAATATTCGGACTCGGCTTAAATTCGACTTATTTTAAGCTCGTTCAAACCTGACTCATTTTTTAAATGAGTTAAACACGAATAATTTTTTAAGTTCGTTTATAAAAAGGAGCTCGAGAGACTCGGCTTAAACTCATTCAAGACCATTCAATTATCAACCATAATGACAATGGAACTTTGCAATCTATCAACTCACATTCATTTGATATAAAATTTTAATATATATTTCCGACTATAAAAAATATATTAAGGTGTGATGGACAAGTTTTACCGATGATTAAGGGGCATGAGACCATATAAGGGAATAGATGTTCAACAAATGGTATCAGAATCATGATCCAAAACACTATATAGACTTGGCTCCTTATGTCGAACGAGAGAATCGTAATAATGATCCAGCATAAATCTCGTTGAAGAAGGGGATTGTTATTGATGTATCGAACAATCTCACATCAATTGGTGGTAAGAGAGTTTTGGCTCATATAAAGGAGTGAGTCACTTATATCAGGCCCATGCCTAACCAGTGGCGGAGCCGGGCTTCTTTCTCAGTGGGGGCAACGTAAAATGAAATAATAATTTTTTATTTTTTCACAAAAAATAAATAATTTGGTCAGCGTAATATTATTGAAATATAAATAATTTGAATATACATTAAATAAATTTTGACACAGTTACTAATGAGATTATGAAGGGGCATCATGATATGAAGTAAAAGACTAACATAAACTCTTCCTAATACAAGTCATTAATAACACACCCGAAAACAACTTTGCGTTGAAAGGATGCCTAATACAATTCCAAGTCAAGGTGGAATGGACTTCACTCTCCATCAGGGCTGGACTTTCCACCCGGTTGGTGGTGTACTTTTCTTGCTGCTTTCACACTCTTGTTCTGTTGGATTGTAACTTGTAATTGACAAGTATTTGATGGAAAAATAAAGTTAACCCCACTTTCTCAAAAAAATTAAAATTAATCCACGATTTCAAATTGTAATAAAGACGAGATGTAAATTCAAACATTTTGAATTTGAATTTTAACAACTCTTGAAATTAGGTCATGAGGGATTACCCTAGTCTCGGCGTGGATAATTTGTCTTTAAGCGGATTGGTGTGAAGATTAATTGAGGTGTGTATAATTTAATTCAAAAACTCTTGACTGCTAAATAAATAAAATGTTAAAAAAAAGTTATTAGCCCAAATCATTATTATGATTAGAGACCAAGCATTAGTAGAATATAATCTAGTGATTTTCGAGTTTCATATTTATACTTGAAAGATAGATAGATAGATTACTTATCACGTATTTGAAGGGTACCTAGTTATTAATATTGGTTTAACTTAAATTAACAACTGGTTATTCTATTATTAAGAGTCTGTTAAAAAACTAAACAAATCTTATTATGAAGAGAAAGTATATTAGACCCGATCCAAATTTGTGGGCAAAAAAGATGAAACATGTAATGTGTTGACGGTAGGTGTAGGTGTAGGTGTTAGGATAGAGAGAGAGATAAAGGCTTTTCTTTTGTGGGTCAGATCCCATTCCTTTCCCCTTCCCTTGATCTAATGGGTCATTTGGTAAAAAAAGTGGAATGATAGAGCAATTAGAAGAGTGGTAAACACATCATATTTGGTTACGAAAAAAGATATGAGGGATGAAGTTTCTTTCTATCCTATCACGGTCAATTCTCTCAAAATTGGACAAAAAATGAAATTAAAGTTAATTAAGAAAAATATTTATAATATTTTAACCAAGAAAAATATGGACTCTGTACCACTTCCATGCTGAAGGTTCTAAGTTTATAGAATCTCATTAAAAATGTCATGGATATTATAGTATGACTCGTATAATATTCTCGGTGTTAGTTTTAAGTCTTATTATCATATATTTTGGGTTTTTTTTTTAATTTAGGTGAGGCTATTAAGTTAATTTTTAAGCTATTTTTCAAATTATAGTTTGATTATCCAAAATACTTTGATATGAAAATTCCATTTAGATAACAAAATAATAATCAATGATGAAAATTTTAGATCTTTAGAGGAGAAGGCTTGAGTCGGCCCACCTTCCGGTATTATTTCAGGTGTCCAGTCAAACGGATATTATTTTTACGTGGCCCAATTACATGGATGTTTCCACAAAAATTACCAAGTGGCACCTCCTACTAGCCCATTGGCCCACTTCACAATTCTATTAACAATCAGGCTTTTTTAAAAAAATCAAACCACAGTGGCTTTGGAAATTTATTTCTTCTCTACAATCTTTGTTTATTTATTTATTCCATTATATTTATATATATATAAAATTGTGTTTTACAAGTACATTCTTCCATTAAAAATTATATAATATAAATCATATTCTTGATTGCCGCTTATCGATCGATAGACCGCCTACCAGTAACTACAAGACGAGAGCTAAGTTGGCCAGCCGCCAACCAAGCCAATGCATCATTCCTATCCCTTCCTGATGAAGCTTCCATTGATTTGAAGAAATGAGGAACGAAGCCGCATGCAAAAGAAATGAAAGTCCCTATTTGGGAATGAGCCCTCAAAAGCCTCTCCCCCTTTGTAGCCCTATGACACAGAATTCTTATCATGTCTTATTTCTTTAACTAGCTTACTCTTACTTGCCCAGCTGAAATATTTATTTAAATAAGCTTAAAGGCTTAGTTAGTTGCACCGCTCGCTCGCTTTCTTGTAATGCCTTCAAACAACAAACGCTAATCCACAAGCGTCGACCCATACATAAAGTTGGAAGTCATTCCTAAAGCGCAAGCAAGTTCCCCATGCAAACAACAATCAATTAAAAAATAAGTCACAAAATGAAGAGATAAGAAACCAAAGGAGTGACAAAAATGTTGGTTATGAAGAAATGGTATAAGGAATGAAGGTTCCTTCTATCTTAACCAGATCAATCCTCTCAAAATTAGACAAAAAACAACCAAGTAGCACCTCCCAACTAGCCCATTGGCCCACTTCACAATTCTACTAACAATCACTTTTTTTTTAAACAAACCATGGTGGTTTTGGAAATTTATTTCTTGGTTATAATCTTTATTTGTTTTTTTTATTATATATATATATATATATATAGGAAGAATTATATCCAGATCTCTTGAGATTTGTCACTTAATCACATAAATCCCATGATATTTGAAAAATTACACACAGGCCCCCTGAAATTTGTACGCGCGTAACAGTTAAACCCTTGCTGTAAATATATTTATTAATAAATTACACTTATACTCTCTTAAAGTAGGTATATAATATTTAGACCCCTTAAATTTAAAATATTATATTTAAATCAAAAATACCCTAATCAAAGATAGAATATCAAATATTTTAAATTTTACAATTAAAATTCCTATTCTATTGTATCATTTATTTAAATAAAATTAAAAATTAATATTTTTTTAAAAAATTGTAATTAATATACAATTATACTATCTATTGGAATAAAAAAAAAAATCAAATAAGGGGTCTAAGTCATCCATAATAGAACATAAATTTTTCATCTAAAATTCATGTTCTATTATATCATTTATTAAAATAAAATTTAATTTTTTGTAAAAAAAATCATAATTAATAGATAATTATACTATCTATTAGAATAAAACTAAAAAATTAAATAAGAGGTCAAATTGTAATGGACACAATATCTTTTAATTTTAATTAGGGTAGTTTGATATTTTAATTTGGTCGTTTAAAAAAAATTAAATTTTTATTTTTGATTTTATTTAAATAAAAGATAAATTTTAATCGTAAAATTTAAAATATTTGATATTTTATCTTAAATTGAAGTATTTTTAGTCTAACTATAACATTTTAAACTTAAGGGCTCTAAGTATTATATACCTATAAACTTTAAAGGAGTCTAAGTGTAATTTATTAATGGATATATTTACAGCAGTGGTTTAAGTGTTACGAGTGTACAAATTTTAGGAGGTCTATGTGTAATATTTCAAATATCAGGGAATCTAAGTGATTAAGTGACAAATCTCAGAGGGTTTAGGTGTAATTCTTTCATATATATATAAATTTTTTTAAAAAACATGTTTTGCAAGTACATTCTTCCATTAAAAATTAGAATATAAACCATATTCTTATGCAAACAACGATCAATTAAAAAACAAGTCACAAACTGTAATGAAGAGATAAGAAAATTAATGATAATTTAAAAATTGATTCCTAAAATTAACATTTTATTTTCTTTAACCAACCAAATTGATTAAGTAACAAAAATAATACAAGATATAATTTTTTTTAAATGTGTTTATATATCATTCAAGCTTAACCAATATACGTGATGAAAATAATTTTAGTTTTCTAAATTTTGCATTACAATTTTGAGTTTATAAGACTCAATAACTTAACCAACTAATAAATCTATCATAACTGGTAGATCAGAGATTTGAATATCTCTTAATTCATAAATTTACCTCTTCATATAAATAGACGACTTTATATAAGGTCTAACATTAGTCTCTAAGAGTATCTAACTAAATTTTCATTTTTAGCTAGTTTGGCAA